ACAAACCTTAAATATTCCTTTAATAAAGCCTAGATACATTTTTATTGTAATGGATTTTCTGGGTAATTGTGATATCATTTGATAGCATCATAAAATCTCAAACGTTTTGCAGATTTCAAATCCTGTTTGCAGTATTCTAAAAATTGGTTGCACTTATTGCATGGGATTTTCAACGAAAAATTGTATAAACATTGCTTTGTTGGATATTTATACATATATGAAGTCCACATAACAATCATTTCAATAGTTACAATTAACCCAAACTCAAGAATAAATTTGTGAAAATCGATTTTTTTAATAAAATCTTGAAAAAACTAGACTTCTTAGAACTTCTGGAAACACCGTTTATTTATTAAGACAGAACAACAACCTATTAAAAACATCCAAGTTCCTCATTTAGTTCCTTCTCTATACCAATATAGAAACGAAGAAACGTGTTTCTTGTTTCCATTTCTAGCGGTAAACATCAAAGGCCACTGGGCTACTAGGTTTCTTGTAGACATCTGTTCGTTAGTTAGAAACCAATTTGTAAATCTAAAATCGAAAATTATTTGCCATTCATTTCCAAGAAAATGTCCCCTCATTAAAAACAACTGAATCCAACCGGAACAAGATAAAATTAAACAAACCTTAAATTTAACTTTTAATACTAAACAATTTCCAATCACCATTTATAAATTATATTAATTTTAACACTCAGCCGTAAAACCACAACAGCTTCGTCGCTAAATCCAGTGATTAAAGTAACTAGACCGTAAAGAAATTACGTGATAGGATGATGAATAATCAATGCTCATTGGAAGTGAATACGAATTGATACGAATAACCGCTTTAATGTGACAAGAGATGTCAAGCAGAACGAGTTAAACGAAGAAACTCGATCTTCTCGATTGATATTGAATTGATTCTACGTCTCTGATTTCGAATTCATGCTTCAACACGCCCATTTCCGGTTGCCCCTTTTGTTTGTTACTTAAAGGTAATCGATTCCGTTTCGATTTTTAACAATCCAGACGACGATTCTTCGTTTGGACTGCTCTTAACTGACCCAGATAACTTTCTCGCGGTTCTCCACGCTTGGAAATGGACCTTGAACACCCGGGAAACCGTAAAATTGATACTGAAAAAATAAAAATACAAAAACTGTTTAATTTAATATCTCGGGTCGCTTAATGATATAATAAGAAAAATAATAAAATGTTAAATCTTTCGAAACTACTTTATTACTCCAATTGTGATTGCTTTCTCTTATTAGTTGATTCTGAAAATTATTTTTTTAATTTATTAAAGATAATTACACATTGTGTTTTACATTTCGTTGCTGATTTTATTTATAACTGAAAGACGTGATATGTTGTTTAAATCTTACACTGCAACTTTTACTTTTAAATATTGTCTTGTCAGGATTGAAATTCGAAATAAATCTTTTACAAACGGTAAATTCCGGTAGTTGGTATTTATACCTTTACAAGGGAAATGAATAATGTATTGAGATTGGAGGCGACAAAAACGCGCGCATGCTGAAAGAAACATTGTCCACGCACAGTTTCGCTTTTCCATCTTACTTATCTCCGGACTTCTTGAAAGGAACCAGACGAAGGTAAAAATCTCGACGGTGGACAAGCGCCTTCAAGGAAAGTGCTTTCTAAAAGCCAGCATCCACAACATACCATTCTATTGAACGGTTTTAATGTTCTGGCGGTTTATTTCATTTTTAGAAAGTCAATATAGTCAGAGTTATTATTATCCAATGATGCCTTTCAAACTGAAAATCAATTAACTGAAACAAAAACTAAATTAGTGATTTTATTATAAAGCGGTAAATTTTCATTAAATTTTTTTTGTTATAGTTAATAATAATTGGATGTGTGACCACACTTATTATGGTAGTAAATGGTATACCACCTCCTGGCTATAAACAAAAACCACAAGAACCAGATCCCGTAAGTAGAACTAATTTTATATTTTTTAAAATGTTATTTTTGGTTTTATTTAGAATCCTCCAAAGTATGAATATGGTTATAAAATCAGTAGTGGTAAAGGAGAAATCCAAGAAAAGAAGGAAGCTAGAGATGGAATTTACGCTTTAGGAAGGTAAATTTTGATTACTATGAAAGTTGTTAAGGATTAAATGTCTAAATATAAATAAAATTCTTTAAAAAGATCGTAAAATACTTTAACGATTTGCTTTGTGACTTTCTTTTTTCTTTTTATATCTTGATAACATCTTACTGCTTGTTGAATTTGATTATCGACTTGTGTCTTGATCCATACATCTAAATAACTTGAAGCCTTAGTTGAATTTTAAAAATTCTTCTGCTAAATCACTCACAATATTCTTTGAAAGTTAATCAAATTTTGTTTGACAAGATCATTTATTTCTAAATTTAACTGTTCTGTAATATAAGAAATTTTCCAGGTAATTTCGTTTAATTTTGTAATTTCATTGCATTTTTCCAACATCTCATCATTGCACGGCTTGCTGAAGCTCCTAAACTTGTGTTGAGTATATTATTGTATACTGAGTGATTCGCTATAAATCTGGTAAACTTTGAGAGGTGTGTCTTTGCCAAAAATTAAGATACTTTTTTTTTATATGAATCACTTTCCCCCTGAAACTATAACCACAGTAGAAATGAAATTTGGAAGGGATAAACATACATAGCTCACAATAATCCACCTTTGTTAATCACATTACAAAATCATTATTTAATATTTTGGTGTAGCTGAAAGTGTTCTGAAACTTTTTTGTCTCTTTGAAATTCCTAGAAAAATAAATAGTTTTGAAATGTTGTAAATGTTGAAACGATATACACAATCATTTCACTGTTTCTTCATTTCAAAAGGAACAAGAGAGGTTGTTGCTGTTATGGAAAGAACTTTGGAAGATACCGTTCAGAAGTGCGTGGTGAACAGTGAAAGATATGAGGAGTTAAATACCGAAGAAGTAGTAAAGTTTACAAATATCAAACTTAGAGAGTGATAATAAAACTACAGTTGTTCTGATACGTAAGATTTAGTCAAAGATACAATAGTTAAAGAAATACAGTACAATCGAAAAGTCGCGGATATCAAAATGAATGTTTCTATGAATACTTGTCGTATTGTAAAGGAAATTTGTCACTTGACGACTGCGATATTGCGGAGTTAAATAATATTTATCAATCCTAATGAACATTGGTCCAACATGAATAATTCAAGACATACTATTACTGTCATTAATGTTAAAGATTTAACTGTAGTAATTAACTATTACCATGGTTTTCATAATTTAGCAATTCATTACGAAATTACGACTTGCTAACTGCGCATTTCATCGGCTAATCCGCAACAATTAACCATATCCAGATGTCTTCTGTAAAGTAATTAATAAAATTACATACTTTTATTAAGTCAAATGATTAGTAATAAAATTTGCGATTAAATCATTAAAACTAATGACGTTTATTATAGGTCAAATTGTGAAAGTAAATCCCTGAAACTTAATAATGTTTATTTTATGACCTATTTTTAAATAATGACTTATAATACAGTATAATACAGAGGTGTGTGTACTGCAAAGAATCTGCAGATCGGTTTTAATCTGCTGTGGATGAAAAAGTGTGGCTATGGTTAGTAAGTAAAGTGGCTTTAAATACTTCGAAACTCGATTAAATTAGACTAAATTCAAATTTAAGCTTCCACCTTTAAAAAAAAAAATCACAACTCTCAGAATCAATTAACGTCATTTGATCCAAATCTGCTAACCAAATTATATAGCAATGCTAATTGATGCAAAAAAAATGGAAGAGTATGCTAACCGGTAACGTATTTCAGTATATGAACTGCTGAAAATAAATCCAAATTTCATTTTGACAGTTTATAAGTGTTGGCGGTTGCTGATAGCGTGGAACACTTTGAAACATTCTTGTATGGAGTGGAGTTCACCGTGTACACTAACTGAAATTCTATCAAAGCCACAGAGCAAGCAGAAAGACATGCAATAGCGTATAGCACGATGGCGGATAAGAATCAAGACTTTAATTTTAAAGTCGACTACAGATAAGGTTTTGAAAGGAATCAGGTTTACTATTTAAGTAGGAATCCTGTTATTAACAGGATTTAGACAAGTTTTGTACATCTTGATTGCACAACTTAAAATATGATTGACGAGTCATGTAAATTCTGATTGGCCATAATATTTGATTAATACTAAAACATATTACATTACAACATATTTTATTTTTAATTTCTTTTTAGATATTATGTAAAAGACCCATCTTCAAGCCAACGTGTTGAATACTTAGCAGATGATTGGGGTTATCATCCTTACGTGGAGTACAGCAGTGTTGGACCACACAGTAAAACATCAACTCAATTGGTTTTAGGAAAAGAATCTGTTATAGCACAACAAAAAAATAGGGTAAGAAGAGAAAAAATGTGAAGTATTTTTATTTAATTAATTTATTTCTATGATTTTAGGAAAACAATTCTCCAACACCCGAAGAAAATAAAACTAATACAAATATAATTGATGCTGGTAAACAAAATAATCCTGAAATTAATATAGTTCAAGAAAAAATGCCAGTTGAAGACCCAAAGCAAAACGAGCAACAGCAACAAGTTCTTGTTGGTGTTCCTGAAAATTTAATTCCCCAACAAGTTCAATTAATACCAATTACCCAACAAATACCTATTGAAAGTTTAAATCAAGTCTTTTTTCAACCGGAATCTGTCCCCAATAATTCCGAAATACCACCATCTCCTCCCCAACTAATTCTTGTGGACCCAAATAGCATCCCCACAAACTTAAGAGTTCAATATGTTGAAAATAATGCGGATGGAAATATTAAACAGAATCAAATTGTTGATGCCCCGATTGCTTTACAATTAATTAAAGAACAAGAAGACTTAAAAAATGTTCAAAATTCTAACATAGAAATTTCAAATCAATTAAATACTAATAATTATAATTTAAATAATGAAAATTCTAATCAAGAAAATATTAATCAATTTATTTCTAATCAGATTAATTTAAATCAAGTTTCGGGAGAAAATTTAAAAAATACTGAAATAAAATCTGATATAAATACTGGAATAAATACTGAAATAAATACTAAAATAAATCCTGAAATAAATGTTAGACTTGTTGGAATTAAAGAAACTTCTCCATTATTTGAAAATGGAGCTGAAATTTCAGAAAATATACAAAACGAAGAAGCGGTTGCATTAAATCTGTTTGGTCAAAAAATAAAATCAAATTCTCCGTCGAAATTAATAGAAAGTACAAAGAATTTAATCTCTGAAATGGATGTATTAAATATAAATGATGCTGCAGATGTAGAAGATTCATCGTCACGTGTAAACGAAATAAAACAGGATTCTACAAAACAAAATTTAGTAATACAAAATTCTCATTTTTCTTTGGATGGATCACAAATTAACGCAGAAAAATATGTTTCTGTATCTTCAACAACCCCGGCTAATTTATTGGATAATAATAATAATGTTATCACTCCGTTGAGTTTATTAAGTAATCCAATTATAGTTGAAGATTTTACATCAACTGGTAATGGAAATTTAAACGAGGAAGAGAATAGAATGGAAGTAAAAGAAATAAATGAAATTAAAAATGTTAAAGAAAGTAATGAAAAGGAAGAAGTTGTGGTAACACCTCGACCGGGAACGAAATTTTTAGCGCCTATAACTGCAGGGGTTCAACTTCAAAATGTCGAAAATACTCCTGCAAAACAAAAAATTTTAGTGGAAATTCAAGAAAGTATTCCTTATTATGTTGGGAAGTACGAGTATGCGCACAGTGGGGAAGAAGAAGCAATTTCAGCGTTAGATCATTATAAATTAGGAGCTTCATTAATTTCTTTTCCTATAACAGATGAGCGAAAATTTGTAAGGCAAAAATTAAATGAACATAAACATATAGAACAACAATTAATAGAGCAAAAATTATCTGAACAAAAATTAGTACAACAAAAGTTGGCGGAACAAAAATTCTTGGAACAAAAATTGGCAGAACAAAAATTGTTGGAACAAAACTTATCTGGTCATAAATTAAGAGAACAACTAAAAGAATCTAAAGGTGTATTAACAAATGTTTTGGATCAACAAGAAGAACAAGGAAGTGTTCATAATGTTCAAGTTACTAAACAAGAACAATTTGTTGAAGAATTACCTAAGCCTTTAACAATTCAAAAACCGTTAATTCAAAATCAAAATAGTTTACCACTTACTAAATATATAGATAGGCCTTATCCTGTTCATGTTCCTTATCCAGTTGAAACAGTTGTTGAAAAGTATATAAATAGACCTTACCCAGTACACGTTCCAGTTCATATTCCTGTAACGATAGAAAAACAAGTGCGAGTTCCATATCCAGTTGAAAAAATTATTGAAAAACCTGTTGAAACAATCGTAGAAAAACCTATACCTCAACCATACCCAGTTGAAAAAATTATTGAGAAACCAGTTCCTGTAGAAATAACGAAATTTGTTGATAGACCTTATCCAGTTCAAATTGGTATACCTCAACCTTATCCTGTTGAAACAATAGTTGAAAAAGTAGTTAATAAACCATACCCGGTAGCTGTTCAAGTTCCGGTTTTAATACCGCAAGTTCAAGAAACAAAATTAACCAATGTACAAGTTCCTGTAGCTCAAGCTTATCATTATTTACCACAAACCGAATCAAGTAACCAACAATCACAAAAAGTTAAACAATATTTTTATAGTAAACCGTTTGTTTATGTAAGTAGTTATCAGAATTTACCTAAAAATCATCAACCTGCGCAAGAAAATAGGCTACATCTTAATTACGCTAATCCAAACTCTAATAATTTACCAAACCAATTTACTTCATCGAACACAATAGCAAATCAATACATAATAACGCCACAAAATTATAACGGACAACATGTTGGGTGGAACTTACAAACTGTTAAGTGTAATAAAAATGTTGATCAAAATGAGTACATTGGGTTAGTTCCACCGAAAGATCCTTCATTGTCACATCGTTCTAAAAAAAGACAAGCAAAACAAGGTTTTGAAAGTCCGAGAATGGAGTATGGATTTTTACCTCCGTTGATACCTTCACAAGAAATCGACGAACAAGGAAGACCAATCAACAGTTAGTTTTCTTCTTATTTTGACCCATTAGAAATTTTGGTGCACGCTAATTTTAGTGCCATTAAGTATAAATTAAGGTTAAACCTCTTGAGTAGTATAAGACATCAATGTTTTTTTGGTAGGGAAAATAATTTGTTTCTTTCACAAAGTTCTAAGAAAAAAGTCTTTGTAATTGTGATTTATTTATTATTGTCTGTTTTTTAAATAAATAATGAGTTTGTTTTTATTTAAATGACGTTTTATTTTTAATATATCTCATTTTTAATTTTTATCTTATCGAAACTAAATTGTTGGCACGATTGATTCGATACTTCTTGTGATTGATTACGTGTCAATTAGATTAAAGAAATAAAGAATATAGTAAGAAATAAATGATCAAAAATCACGAAAGAAGATCAACGACGATGTAATAATAAGATAAGTGAAAGGAATCTAAAAGTTGATAGAAAGTCGAAATGCCTCGTGCACAGAAACCATAAGACCGAGAATTTTGATCGTAACACAACATCCTGATAGAAGAAGACACTTCGAGCACGTCGAACACATGTTCACCAAATACCCATTAGTATCAACTTTCCTCGTTTACATAAACGGTCGAAAAAAAATCACGGAAAATCTTTTAACTCATTTTGTTACGTTTATATGTTAAGTTAAAATGTAAATCAAATAGCGGAAACATTTATACTTACTCTACAATAGAACAATGTACAATTACAAGCAACACTTCCTTCAAAGTGAAACTTTTAAACTCTCTTTAAAAAGATGATACACAAAAAGTTCGGCGAAAACAAAAAAAAAATAATAGATGGAGAAAGAAGAAATCGTGTCCTTATTCTATTTCAATTCTGAAATGGGTGGAATGATCTTGATGGATTAAAGACTTTCCCAAAAAGAAAAAGTTACAATAATAAAAAAACTTATATTAAGATTTTTGTGGGCTACTTATAAAAGAAATTATAAATACAATTTGAAATTTTTAGAATGTTAAAAAGTAACTGTAAATATTGCAAATTCGTCAAACCCTAGATGTAATTTAACCACTCGATTTGAAATATTAAAACCTTCGCAAGAATAGATGCACATCTGGTAGACGAAAGGCCGATATAACACAGAAATATCCACCAACAATAGATGCAGATGTTAGAGAAAAAAATCTTTTCTACGATGATTAGAAAGAACTCTTGAGAAAATACGAACGCAATCCAAGACGTGAAGGTATTAAGAAGGATAGAACTCAGCACGGAGAAAAGGAAAAGGCAAAAGAAGGTACTGAGGAACGGATGCAGACTAGAGAAGAAGATAAGGACATAGCAGAAGAAGAGGGAAGCATGGAAGAAGTGTGAGAAGCCCTAAAGGAAACCGAAATAGAGAAGCAGCAGAAAAAGATCTTTTCTACGATGATCTATAAAGAACTCTTAAGAAAACACAAACGCAATCCAAGGCATGAAGGTATTAAGAAGGGCAGAACTCAGCACGGAGAAGGAGAGAAAGAAAAACAAGGTACTGAACGGATAGAGACTAGAAAGAAACATAAGGAAATGGCAGAAGGAGAGGGGAGCATGGAAGAAGTGCGAGAAGCCCTAAATAAAACCGAAAACGAGAAGTAGCAGACAATGATAACATATCACAAGAATTATTAAAATAATACGACCGACAGGAAGTTGTAATTTACGAAGGTATTATGGTCTCAATAATGGCAACTGAAGCAGTGCAAACTTCGTATGGATCTTTGCTTCCTTTCTTGCCATACATAAAAAAATTGTTGAACTGGCATATCATCAAATATGAAAACCATCACGTCATCTTTCTGTTCACAGATCACTATTATTTTTACAATTTTGCTATGATCCTTTTTGGCGACTCTTGTGCATCAGTAGTTCTGCCACTGCGCCCTTTTTGCAGTGTCATTCAACATAAAGTTTGACTTTTACAATCAACTCTTTCCTTCCAAAGTTGTAACTAAACTTTTTTTTGAAATAGCTCAAGTAGAGCACATATTTTTCACTAGGGTATTTTTCAATGATAAGTTGATATATTATGTCCAAATGATTCTGGGTACTATATTGGTTTTGATGTCTAGCTCTTTGATCCAAAGGTGACATATTGTTTTCCACAATTTTGATAAGACGCTGTAGAGACTTATTCCATATTCAATGTAGATTCAAGGAAGTGTTTCAACAGACTTCAATTCTTCTTGCACTCTTGATTGCGTGGTATACAAAAGAGTATATTATCTGCTTATAATTGGTAGAAACTGCGCGATGCCTGGAAATGTCTTTTCTGTCAATAAGCTCACATAAGTAAGATACCATTTCATTTTTCGGGCGGCCGTTATAAAGTTTTGTTATGACAAAGTCATTTTCCTCAAAAATGATACTTGACATACACTTGATGAACCAAAACTAAAACTAACACTATCACTAGAACTAACAAAAGTGCTTTGAAAAAGTGTTTGAAAGTCTTTTACAAGTACAATCGGAACCTGTTATTTTTTGCTTCCACTAAACTTCTTTATATGTAACAAACTCTTTTCCTTATCCTCTTCCTTTCATTATCATCATTACACGTTTCTTTGAGATTCATTGTTTTCATCCGAAAATGGTTCACATCTTTGATCAGGAATTCCAAGAGTTTCTGTTTCAAAAACATTATAATACAAAATCACCAAAATAATACTAAAAGAGCTGCCTATTATAGCATGCTTCAGCCTATTTAGAAGATTGACTCACCAGTTTAAGACTACAGTCAAGGAATATTGTTATTCCTTCAATCAACAATATTTTAAATGCCCCTTTGAGCTGTATCAACCAACGAAATAAACAGTAAACAAGATGGCTATTTCAAATTAAAATGACGTATTTTGGAATTTTATCTTTCTTCTCCTCACCCACTCAATCCTAATCTTACCACCTATCTGATGTTGTCTAATTCTCCTGCTTTTATTCTAATCCCAGACATGAATGATCTGTGATCAGTTATTCTTGTGGCGTTTTGGCTATATTTTGAAATTGTTACATTTCGTGCAATTTATTTATATACAGTTTTGTATCAAGTTCCAACTCCTAATTCTTCTATCTTTAATACATCCGAAATTGTGTCCCTTTTTGTGCTTTTGTGCTTCATTAAGACATGGTTACATTTTTATAGCTGCTGGTATTGTTGTTGGCTGCGTTTGACTTCCTGCGATTTCAGTGCCAAAATGAAAACCTACTATGAGAATTATTAATTAGTATAATTTATACAGAAGTCATATATAAAGAAGTATTATTAGCATAATTATATTTAGTTCGATTCTTAATCGATAGAAATTGATCATGAACTTAGTTATAAAAGGAAGAATCCAATTAGAATTATAAATTGTACCAATAACTTGTATTGCCCTTACTACATTAATATAAGATACAAATGATATTGCTTCTGCATAAATATATGTAACAAATAATAATTTAAATTTACGTTATTATTTATAAAGAAAGTGATTTTAACTATAACAGATCATTCGAGAATCGAAAGTTTTTTCAAGCTCATTCCAATTCTTTTTTTATTTCGGAAATAAAATTCTTGAAATAAATTTATCACCGAGTTATTTCAATTGGAACCGCATAAAGTCCACCGGAAAAGGACATAAATAAAATCGTTTTAATAAAAATAAAAATTCTTGAAATAGCAAAATTGAAAAAGCTTGTTCTTCATCATTAAGTGGGTAATTGGAAAGACGAAGAAATTGTTGTTACTCAACTGGCATAATACCATGCAAAACGACGTCTTGGTGAAAACCACAAGCCGAACATCTGCTCCTTTCCTTCCTATAATCTCCCACTGTTGCACCAAAAGCAGGAGGAGAAAGATGACCACCAACCAGCCACATGAAGCCGACGTCGCCGTCGACTTCGTCCAGCTGAGAGAAAGTAATGTCGAAATGAATAGCCAGTGTCAATGTTAAGGCTTTGGGTGTGTAAAAAAGTTTAGCACAGTTGAGAATCCGCTCAGTTTGTTTGGATCTGTCTATTGCTGAAGATACCAGTGATTAAAAAAAATAGAAGATATTATGGACAGTTATTTTTTGGTGAGTATCCAAAATTAACTATATATTAAATTTATTAGTTTAATAATTATTAGTTTCTAGAAATTCAATTTTTACTCAATTTATATTTATAAAAACGCAATATAAAAAAAAATCATAATTTCATCCAAAAAATATTTTTTTTAATTTATTTATTAATTAATTATTTTTAATTATTTATTAAGCACCTTAGAAAACTGTGACAAAAATAATATAAAATGAAGAGAAATTTGTTGTAGAGTTCAAGCGAGAAATTGATCCTTTCCGGTTTTCATAAACGAAGACGTGGTAACCTGGATTTTTTCAAGAAAGACATCTTCGGGATCAATGAAAAGTCGTTTCTCTTTAGTAACCGTGATAATTGCATAAAATACTTTAAATTCTTTTAAAAAATTTAAAATTATACTATATTCTTTTATACGTGTGTAAGAAGTGAAAAAAATTCTTGTGAAATATTTTAATCAATGCAATATCTCTTTAACAATTAACATTGAATGCGTTCACAAAATTTATTCCAAAGTCTTACACGTGCAATCGTTGTACCATGAGGCTTAACATAATTTACTTTCTCCGAGGCGTTGGATCAATTGAGTTTTTAAAAGCTTTATTCCATGAAAATGAAAGTGAAATTAAATTAATCTTTATTTTGTAATTTTTACAGATCACGCTAATGTTGCTAACAGCCGTAATAGTAGCGTCATCGGGTCATAGACTGCCACAAGTACGCGAAGAACTTGTAACTTCAGCATCTTCACATTCTTATAACTCTCCGTTTGAATACGGTAAAACAGCGCAACCGGATTTGCAAAAATGGAGATACTATCAACAGCAACAAGCAGATGTTAAAGGTTTCGCAAAGTTTAAAAGTCACATCCAACCTTTATATCCGAATAAATTAGATATACAAAGAGATGGTTGGATACCGAAAGTGGTTACGAAATCTCCGAGATTTTATGGGATTACAAGAAAACAAGATCTTGATGTTCAAGCGACTGAGAATTACAATCATAACATTGAATATCTCCCGAATCCTCAATATCTAACTGGAAATATCGTTTATAATCAAAATAATCAAGATATTGCCCAATTAAGTAATCTTCTAGGACAAAATTTTCATCAAATACCAAGTAATCATCAACCAGAATATCAATCACAACCTATTTTATCACAACCTCAAGCGACCCATTTACAATCAGAACTTGATATCTTATCCCAAGATAACGTACAAAAGCTTCTTCAACAAGCTCAACAACAAGCAATGGACCAAGTTCGATTACAACACGATGCTTTAGAGAAAACAAGAAACGAAGCCGAGAAAGCTGCGTTAGCAAAAATTCAAGCTCATAATTCCGGTGTTGCTGATATTACCTTAGAATCAGCATCAAATATAATTGAGGAAAAACCTATTAATGATCAAGTAGAAAATATTAAAGTTGAACCACTCCCAATTCCACAAGCTTTAACTACTTCGAATGAAGATCATCAATCTGCTATTGATCATGCTATTTCGCAAGCGCAAGCTTATTTACAACAATCCTCTAACATTCATCTCTACAACCCAACGTTGAACGATGTTAAATTTGTTGATGTTAAATCCACGTTACAAACTCCCTCAAATTTATATCCTCAAAGTTATCCTTTAAAACCAATCCTAAATAACATTAAAATTGCCGATATTGAACCAACCTTAAAAACTCCATCATACTCCTACCCCCAAAATAATATTAACACTTTAACGAAACCCACTGAAGATTTTACGAAAAATAACGACGTTATCACAAACAACATCAACACCTACGTAAAAAACATTGAACCAATAATTAACCAAGTGCCTCAAAAAGATGAAATCGAAGAAATCAATAAAGAAGTCGATGACTACAATGAAGATTACGCTGTAAGTAATTTAACTGTTAAGGTAAGATTTAAAAGGGAAGTTAACAACTCTAATGATACCATTTCTTTTGAAACTAAAAATATTAATGACACAATAAGTGAAGAAATAGAAAATAACGAAGATGAAATTCCCGAAGAATTACCAACACCAGAGGGGTGGAAATCGTCCGATTACGAAGAATTTTACGAAGATTCCGATTATTACCCCGATGATAAAAATGTGGCTGTTTATAAAAGAATTCGACCCCCATCAAGATTAAAACAATCCGATTATGATCGTGATTATGAAGATCAAGTTGTATCGCCATCTTTTAAACATGGTAGTCACGTAAAGTTCCACGTTCCCACAAAAATTCACACGATTCATCATCATCATGATCATTACAAACCAGTTTATTATAAAGATCACGGTCATTTTGAAGATTTTCACGACATTGATGACCACAAAGAATACCACGTTCCTGAGGAAAAACACCATCCCACTTACATTGTAATTAATAATTCGAATCACGGTGCATCCCCACATGGTAAACATAAAAAGCATCCCCGTGTAATTCGAAAACGACCGAGAGTTCATCGTAAAAAATATTCGGTTATTGATCGAAAAGTTCAAAAAGCAATCACTAATTTAAACAAATTTTTATCCAGACATAAAATAAGAAAATGAAAATCGAAGAAAACATGGAAAATAGAAGTGGTATCGTTGGAGTTGTTAATTTGTTGTTCCTTTTAATTATTTATTTTTTACGCGTTGTTTGTAATTTTACAACTTATTTATTAGAGTAGAGTTACCTGAAAAACAAATAAATTTGTTGGTGGGATTTATTCAAATGGTGTCTTTTTGTGTTTTTCTACTTCTCTAACACGTAACTTTGAGGAGTTATCGAGTGAATTAGATATGCAACAGTAATTACACTTATTTTCGCAGTTTCTAGAAATAAATGTACGTGTTGTGAGAAAGTAACATGTGATTAAAAAGAAACAAGTAGAAATTAATAGTTTCTTTCGTAGACAAGACTTTTTTTAATTCTTGGATTGTAAGACACAATTTATTTCCTTATAGGAACTTAAAGTGCTTAAAGCAATCTTCGTAAATTTATGAAATTATAAAAGTGTTTATAAATTTAACAAATTTTGTGTGATGTTGTATAAAGATTGAATATTAGTTAGCGATTGGACATAATTTAATTTTAAACTTAATTAGATCTTGAATCGAGAGACCTAATAGAATATAGCATTGTTTCTTTCATTATGATTTATCAAGCTCTTAGTGATTTCAATGTCTATTTAAAGTCTGATTTTGTAAATGATGGGAATTAAGCCTCATATTTTGAAGGGCTTTATCAGTTTCAAGAAAAATGATATCACTGAAATTAGTGTAGGTTTGAGTTTTGTGGATGTTTCAAAACTTGAAAAGATATGTTCTTCTGTTGTTTCTCCATTCATTCTTTACAATGTGTGCAGATGTAAGCGGTATCTTTTCATCCTTCAATTATATTGCAAAAAAAGTAAAATGTAATCGATCAAAACTATTCCCAAAAGATACAGAACACTCCATTTATTCAATATTATAGACTTCGTCTTTCATCAAAGTAAATATAAAATATTTTATTAGATTTATCGTCGACACCTATGTATTTATTATAATTATCATTCATGTATACTGTCCTCTTTTTGTTTGTCATCACTGTCTTGCTATTTCTTTTGGGTAGACAACAACACTCATCAGGAACTTTCTTGTCTCTGTATGATTAATTAAGTATTCCCCTACAATTTCTACATTACATACACTTACATAAAGCTGTTAATGGGGAACATAATGTCATCGAAATAAAATTCTTGATGTGATGCCTAATAAACAAAATTCCAAGTCACGAAGTCTGTAGCAATATTAATAAATACATTTGTAAAAGGTCTTGGTACAGTTATTTCATAAAAATTATCTCAACTTTCTGTAAAAAAATATTAATCGAACCAAGAAAAGATATTTCGATTTTAAAAAACTCCAAAATTGAAACTCTAGAATCTTGTACAAAACTCTAGTATTACAATTCTCCCAATAACCCAAATCATCGTTTTGACATTTGCTGAAAATGTGGTTACAGAAAAAAATTATTTTCTCTAAAACGGTTTAGACTTTGGGAAAGAAATTTTTTGAGGTTGTAAAAGAACTTTTCAGATTAGGTTATCCCTAATTATCGGTGCGGTAACTCTATTTTAGACAAAATTTTGAAGATCGACAATTTAACTTGATATGTATTTGTTAAAAATGAGATTTATGAGATAAATGATTTCTTAAAAACATAAAACTTTCGGAAGTTATAAAGAAATGGTAGAGCTTAGTTTATACCAAATTTTAAGTTTTCAACTTGAACAAATTATTTTGTATAAATTTTAAAATGTCACCTTTTTGGCCTTTGATGAAAATGTGGTTTCAGATAAAGATTGTTTTCTCCAAAACTATTCGAAATTGAGAAAAGAAACTTTCTGAGGTTATAAAGGGACGTTTGAGGATAGATTGTGCTTAATTATAAGCTTTTAGTGTGATGACTCTATTTTATACATCATTTTGAAAATCGATAATTAAACTCCATATGTACTTGTTAAAAATGAGATTTATGAGATAAATGATTTTTCCAAAACAGCATGGATTTAAGAAATAAAACTTGCTAAGGTTATAAAGAAACGTCGAGAAATCTCGTTGTGACCCGAGTAAATTATTAATGCTGACATAATCTTCATCACCTGAGTCTTTATATTCATTTCAAAATTCACTAANTGTATTTAAAAAAATAAAACTTTCTGAAGTTATAAAGAAATGGTAGAGCTTAGTTTATACAAAATTTTAAGTTTTCAACTTGAACAAATTATTTTATAAAAATTTTAAAATTCCATCTTTTTGGCCTTTGCTGAAAATGTGGTTTCAGATAAATATTGTTTTCTCCAAAACTATTCGGAATTGAAAAAAGAAACTTTCTGAGGTTATAAACGGACGTTTGAGAATAGGTTGTGCCTAATTATAAGCTTTCAGTGTGATGACTTTATTTTATACATCATTTTGAAAATCGACAATTTAACTCGATATGTATTTTAAAAAAATGAGATTTATGAGATAAACGATTTCTTAAAAACAGCATGTATTTAAAAAAATAAAACTTTCTGAAGTTATAAAGAAATGGTAGAGCTTAGTTTATACAAAATTTTAAGTTTTCAACTTGAACAAATTATTTTATATAAATTTAAAAATGTCATCTTTTTGGCCTTTGATGAAAATGTGGTTTCAGATAAATATTGTTTCCTCCAAAACTATTCGGAATTGAATTTTCTGAGGTTATAAAGGGACGTTTGAGGATAGATTGTGCCTAATTATAAGCTTTCAGTGTGATGATTCTATTTTATACATCATTTTGAAAATCGATAATTAAACTCGATATGTATTTGTTAAAAATGAGATTTATGAGATAAATGATTTCTCCAAAACAGCATAAACGTCGAGAAATCTCGTTGTGACCCGAGTAAATTATTAATGCTGACATAATCTTCATCACCTGAATCTTTATATTCATTTCAAAATTCACTAATTTCATTAAGATTACAGATGACGATACGCTTGTCTCGCTTTTATTAACATTTACTTGCAGCAGTAATTAATTTTGAAAATTATTATACCTAAACCTTTATAAATTTTACACATAACAGTGTTTAAGATTCTAAATTATTGAATTAATTATTAGTAAGTGATAAAACTTGTTGCATATATTACTAAGAAAACTTCATTTCTAAGACTATTAATTTTTTTCGCGTTGAGAAAGTATCAAGTCAGGCATATTTAATGAAAGGTAAATAAAGTGATTTATTTTATTTTAATAAAATCCAATAAAACTTATTAATTTTGTACTTCTTGATGTTTATTAAACCGTCATCAAGGTAATCACCTACAGATAAAATTAACATTTTATAATATACAATCATTCACGTTAAAGTTAATGAAGTAAATAAAATTAATGAAATATATTTCACTTACGTCAATTATACTAAAAGATCAACATGAATGAACGAACACTATACACTATAAACATCGACTTAGCTTAATACAAAATTATTAGTGACACATTAAAAATATTTGAGAAGGTTATTTTTCCTTTCTTCTATACTGGAGGAAAATTTGGGTAACTTTATTCGTGGTTGATATTTTATGACAACTTTTATTCCTGAAGCGGGACCGGTTTGTGTATTTAAATCTTGTTTTTTAAATATTTTAACTTATGTTTGGTGGTTTCTTTTATTGCAAAAATGGATTGTTTAAACAGAGGTAAAAGTTACCCAAATTTCCCTCCAATATAGAAGAAAGTAAAAATAACCTTCTCAAATATTTTTAATGTGTCACTAATAATTTTGTATTAAGCTAAGTCGATGTTTATAGTGTTCGTTCATTCATGATGATGTTGAGTATAATTGATGTAAGTGAAACATATTTCATTAATTGTATCTACTTCATTAACTTTAACGAAACCGGTAGGAACTAAAAACAAAATAAAAACAACAAGAAGCACAATATTAACAAGTTTTATTGCATTTTATTATATAATCTTGATGAATAATGGAAAATTTACAACACGTATATTTCATTTTATTTCCTATCTATCAATGAACTTAAAAAATATTACAATATTACAATTACAAGACAGATTTTTTTTAAACTTTGAAATCTAATAACTAACAAATGATTACTTTTATTTACATATGAATCTAATTCACGTTTCTAACTAATAATATATTTCATCTTTTCTATCTCATTTATACAGTGAATAGTAATATAGTTTATACATTCTTAGCATAATTTAAGATTAATAGAGACATTCCCAATTTTTCAGAACAAAAATTACCATAACATATGTCAAGTATTCTAATTTTAACATTAAATCTAACATCTATATTATATTCCATATGGACATAAATTACATATCTTATTTACATACCAGTTAGATATCTCATGAAAATGTAACGATCCTTATTAATCTTAAGTAACGTTTAACGTAAATTTTAACAACTCCCAATAGCTTTTGTTTCACAATCACTTTCTCCAATAAATCTGAACATTCCAAGAAGTAATTTTACCTACAAACTCTGTGAAAACTTAATTTATCTTGTCGCATAAAGAAAGAAAGAACATTAAAAATATATTGTCGATTTCAAACTTACTTTTTCCACGGATAATAAATCATCATAAATACATAAATATCTTTCAGTAGCTTTCGCAAAAATGTTACTAATCAGCTTAAACAACGACTAATTAGGTGAAAATTATGTGTAAAATAAAATTTTATAAGAAAGTTTATAAAATGCCGAAGAAAATTGACCAATTCATAAAGTCACGCTCTAAATATCGATTAATAACGCGTGTAAAGTAAAGATTATCACTAAGAACAATCATAAATTTCCATCGAATCATAAATTTCCATGATTACACGAACGGTTCACCTCAACTTACCACCAAACGCATAATTCGTATTCATTTGAATGTGAAACTACACAACCGACGTGTCACTCGTCACTCGTAACTGTGTTTAAAAATTCTGCGCCCAAATGAAAATGTACTAGGACGATAAAAGAAAGTTTCGTTTGTATGTATATGAAAGTTGGATGGATAGTTAGACCTATTTTTGGAAGTAATTTTTTAAATGAACGGGATCAATTTTAATTCCGATCGGTTTAGGGTTTTATATGTATCTATATGTATAGTAGGAAGTTTGAGATTCACATTTAATTTTCAAAAAAATCTCCTGTACTGCTATGAATAAGCTGCTGAGTTAATTATTAAAAAAAATCTTCAGTAATTAATTAATCTTTTAAATAATTACGATGCATTAACTAATTATTTAAAAATATTTTATTACCCAGTAATGTAAAGAAAATTTCTAATTATCCATTAATGTAGTTAATTAGAAATTACAACTTAATTTAAAAGGAGTACGCATTTTACGTATTTTTTAAAATTTGTTGATGACTATATAGTAAAAGCAATATAAAGTAATTAATGGGTTAATTACTTTAAGCTTTGTATTTATGTTTTTATATTTCTTGTAAAGACCACAAAAATTTCCTGGTTGATGCAAAACATTAAACAGTAATCATTAAATAGCATTCATACAATTTTTCTTTTTCACAACCATATTTCTTTAATATATTTAATGCATTTTACATTAACAGACATTACTCTTGTTGCTTTTCACTATATATTAAACATCTGTTTATATATGCAAAAGTCTAGGTCAGGCTATTAATCTATTAATTCATAAAAATTGATAACTGTTTCAATAACTGTTTCAAGAAGGCAAGGTCCCAGACCAAGTGCAAACCCCAGGCNGTATTTTGGTGGATAGATAAACCACATTAATAAGTAAACCAGGATATAGAAGAAGCAGCTCCTATCTTCTCCTACTCATAATTTCTTCTACTTACCTATTCGATATTCTGCTGTGAAAAACTTGAAACTATTCAATGTAACCTAATCTATTGGTAGGCGTCCATAAGTTTCATCTAAACTCTTACGGCTGATAATATTTCTAATAACTAGTTTTTCATCTTTTTTCGCCATCACACATTTATGACTCAATAATCACAAATCCATCAAAATCTTACAACAACCGATGTCTCAACTACTATAAATTAGAGCATGGAAATATTGATTTGCCAATATCATTCTTTCATTTTATTTGATTTAATTAGTCTCCCAATACCATGAGATTTATGCAATTATAGAAGAACAGAACTTCAGTTTAATAGGAAGTAAGGTCATGTGCACTATCAAAATCAGTTTAATGCTATTGTCTACTATCTAAAATCGTTTCGATTTAGGTCTAAACTACGGAGAGACAAAGAATAGTTTACAGGTTTTCGGTCTCCTGTGAAAAGTTATTGAGTGTTAAAAATTGTAGCAAAACTTCTTACCGGGTGGTTTTGCCATTCTCAGCAAAATAAAAGGTTTTTAATGTGGAATATTTAAAATTTTCCAGCATTCGCCAAAATTCCAGTACCAGTATTTCGCTTTACTTCGACAAAATTGGCCCCTCTTTTTCACTGCATATTGTTATCTTAGGTTTAAATCCTTTCCTATTCTTATTTACATTTTGGTAGAATTCCTTCGTTTTTAGTTTCTTTAATTCCCTCAGTTCAGTGTTTATGGCCTCTTTCTTTTTCCATCTGTCTAGTAGTTCTACGGTGCTGTAGTTTTGTGTAGGCTTGATTCTTTCTTTCCGTTACCTCTATGCACTCTTCGTCAAACCTGTCCATTAAACTGTCTGCTGCTTTTCTTTCAAATCCTAGAGCTTCTTCTGTGGCCTCACAGATCTCCACATATCGAGCATCAGATTTATGTTCTCTTTCTGCTGTGTTCTTTGAAGTTCTGTAAATTAAATTTCTCGTATTTTTGTGCTGTTGACATCTTCTCATTCGCAATACTTGGTCTGACCCTGTTCACAACCAGATAGTAGTCAGAGTCGACGTTAGCACCTTGTTTACTTTTGACCTCTATTTTGTGAGATTGGTGTCTTTCATCAAAAACATTTTTGCCATTGGTTTTCCTTCTCTATTTCAGCGTTAAGATATTTTTGGACAGGAGTGGCAAGAATCTGTTCCACGTTTGACAAAAAAATTATGAAATAATTTAAACAATCAGGAATTTTATGGAAAATAATTTGTTTTTGAATTAATTATTGTGACCTTGAGGAAACGAAACCTCTAGAACACCAGTTTCTTATATCTAGATAAATAATTTTAATTTCATTTATACACCGTACGGAACTAACGGGAAATAACGATAATCCAAAAAACTGCTAGAACGACATTTATGAAAAATTGTACAAATTCATATTTAGAAACTATTATGGAAGACTAAAAACAAGATAGTTTAGATAGCCAAAAATATTTTTAATTGCACCCTTCCCAGCTGCATAGCAAAAAAATATGATTTCACCAACACCAAAAATCTGTTTGCCAGAAAAAATGCAAAAATTTTATCTTATATACTTTTGTTTATATGTACACCATATAACATAAATATACATCTCAAACTTCTATTGACGTTTTCTTCAGAAACCCTTATCTGTTACAATTCTTTAAGTGTTTAGGAAATTCTGTTGCCCATCTTGCATGATTTGTGAAACATTCAAATCATCGCCTCGTAGTGCCATGATTAAAAAGACATATTTCTCTTGTTCAATTCACACTTCAATACTTTGAATACTTTGTGGGATTTGAGATAATCATTAATAAATGGCACGTTGTTTCCATCAGATTCCAAGTCTTTCACTATTCCCAAGATATTTGAGATATTTGATAGCTTCACGCTTATTTCTGAATACTTCTTATAAACTTTTAATATTATTTTATTATAATGATGTAGCCTTTAAAAATCGTTTAATACACTTTTACGTAACATATTTTATATTTACCTCCTTTATTTTTAAGAATTCATATTCTACCCATTTCATTTTGTAACTTTTAGCACCTCAACATAATTTAATTTTATATCTTCTATAATATTCATTAATAATAAATTTCGTTTTAATAAATTTGAAATATTTAGCAAGTTCATTTACAAGTCAATAAATAATTCAATAAGCAGTTTTAATATCTCTTTTATGCTTTTACTGCTGGAATATTTAAATATATAGAAATATTTTAATGTCAAGTAGAGTAATATAAAGAGAAAATTTATTGATTACAAATCATATATCATGATAATTATTAGAAATTAACTTTTGAAATCACAACTTCATCATTTTTATTGAAATACTTTATTTTTTTACTTACCTTTATGGAAAAAAATATAAGATTTGTTGTAATTTACATTTCTTATTTGTTAAATGAAAACTACATAACAAAAGCAATTTATTAAGTTTTAATACATTTAAAACATTTAAAATTAATTAAAACGTGAGTTAAATAATTAAAACGTTATATAAACACTTCATAATAAAACTAAAAACTTTTGCAATACTATTCACCCACGTATTATTGAACTAAAACACTTTTACTCTCTAAAGTCTGAAGCTGTACTGACGAATTTCCCGATCTTAAATGGCATATAAGGCGCTTTCTACCCGCCCGGCACCGTAATCGGCTAAGAAACAAATTTTTAATGCTTTCTAAACGGAAACCAATGGCAAAGAAAAAAGCACGTAATCATTTCCGATCCGGTTATTAGATACTGTTATAATTGCTAGTTTTTCATAATCTGTATCATATTCAAGGAGCACAAGAACGATGCGACATAAAGGTCGTTAAACTTTTGTTAAGATCTATAAATCGATTAAGAAAGATTTCTTGGCGTTGTACTCGTGTGTATGATTATCCATGGTCTATTGAAATCGTAATTGAATTTATTTGTAGTTTTGCATTGCTTTCACTGTTGGGATAGCTTGGCGAAATGTATAATAATAAAAGTAGAAATTAATATAATTCTTTAATTTTCTTTTGTTAAATAGGAAGAATACGCACCAAATTACAAATTTGGGTATCAGATAATGGATTATCATAGCGGAAATGATTTTGGACATGAAGAAATTAAAGATGGGAAGATGACTAAAGGACAATACCATATTTTATTGCCAGATGGAAGAACGCAAAATGTTGAATATTGGGCAGATGCTAGTGGATATCATGCAAAAGTCACTTATTCTAATATAGCTAAACATTAAGTTGCAAAAAGGTTTGTTATCTTCGTTTATTAAGTGAATATGAATTGGGAGACGTGCAATATAGATTGTAAAATATGTAGTTATTTATATTGTTATTAATTTTTAATTTATACATCAATAAAAAAAATTTTAATTTTAATTTTTTTATTAAATGATGGTGATAACAATTACGTAAGGTTTTTATATATTATAATGACAACTTTCTCCATGTCTACACAATGAAGGAAAGTATTGTACTTCACTTTTTGTAATAGGTATAATATAAAAGTATATAAAAAAAATATTAACGTTGACATATGGTCTGTAGTTTTATGTAAAAAATTAAGTATCATTAATTTTTTTATTATGGGTAGTACTTATAAAACATAAAACTTTCAGGTGTTAAAAACGGAAAATAATCGCATTTAACTACCGTGAAAAATCATAAGTTCTAAATTTGCTAATTTATTAACTTTTCTACATCGATTTTTTGTACTCTTTATATCAGACAACAAGTCATGTATTATTTGGTCTCATTCTGCATCATCGTCAAATTCTTAGTCAAAACTTTGTTAAATGTTGACCAGTACTATTAGAGTTTTCTTTTAATGATGCTACAGCTCGCTCCGAGCCTATCCATATCCGCTCTCTTCCAGTTCCTGTTGTTCCGCTGGCCTGCGTTGGTCTAACTTAGATTCGAGTACTCTTTTAGGCGTTCTCATCTCCTTCATTCGGACCACGTGACCAGTCCATCAGAGTATTTGTATTCTGACAAAAACTGATATATCTCTTTATACATTTCGTACAATTCGCGATTTTACCTGGATCTTCATTCTCTGTCTACTTGCTATGGATCAAATATTGTGCTCCAGGTCGAAGAAGATTCCCAACATTTCACGATCCAAAATCAAAGTCCATATACCATTGCCTAAGTCGTTTCCTTGCTATCCGTCCTAACTTCCGATGGTTTTCTCTAAAGCTTGGAGGACCAAACACTCTTCTGTAGGAGTTACCATTCCTTAGTCGATTTGTTCCGGTTTTAAGGCGCCGTAAACTCACCCTCATCCTCCTCCGTTAGCATTGCCCAGGGTGCACGACGTGAACGTGGAAAAAGGATTTGTTGATGTGCCCTGGATGCACTATGGGCATTTCTCAGGGTTTTGGTACAACCTAGAAAAAGGTACCCTAGACTGTCAGTGAGGTCCTTTTATCAACCATTTGCACCCCTGCACTATTAGAGCGGCCGTACCAAATTTAAATTATTGCGTGGTGCCGTTTACAATAACTTAAAAATTGTGATGTTTCCTTTATTCCTTTAAAATTATTATTAGGAATATGTAGAATAAGATTCCCAATCTTAGACCTAACACGCCAGATTATGATGGATTAAAGGAATTTGCTTAAAAGCTTACACCATAACCAGAATTTAGCCAATTGAAGAATTCGTTTCAAATATCGTTACATCGTTACAAGAACTATATACGTTGTTTGACTTAGTTTCTTTGTTGACTATCAAGTAACTTGGTTGATTGACTTTGGGTCCAAAATCGCTAATCTATAGTTTAAGCAGTTTCTTGCAACTCTGGTGGCGAAAGTGATAAAATCACAATGTTATGTCATTTATGAATACAATTCTTAGAAGTCCCTGGTTCTTGAAAATTGTTCCAAATTGCAGAACATGTTTAAATATTCATGAAACAGTTACAAATCTATAAATAATCTTAAAAAATGATCTTAAAAATCATGAATTCCTAAATCACGCTAGTAATTCATTGATAATCAAAAATCTCATTCGATATCTCTGGAAATACTTAAAAATACTAAGCAAATATTTATAAATTGTCTGAATATCGTTTGAAATTTGTAAATATTTTTAGAAATCGTATTATGAATGACTAAAATCGTTGAGAATCCCTTAGAATCATTAAAAATTATATATTTATAAATCAATAGAAATTCTTTGGAATACTTGAAAATTAAATTAGGTAGATATATCTCCAAATATCTGATTCCTGGATGTCCAAGAAAATTCTTGAAAATTATATGTAAATTCTATGGAAATTCTTTGGAAAGCTTCTCTCAATCCTCTGAAAATTTATTGAAATCCATTAGAAATCTTCTCAACTTCTTAAAAGTCCATTGAAAAGACTTGTTATGATGTTAATGTTGTCCTTCATGCAACTCAGAAGAAAGAAGTCTAACGGATAACGCATGATCATGCCGACCAATTGAAGTGTCAATTTCGAGAAATCAACCAAACTTTAATCGCAATACATAATGACTTGTTCGTTTCTGTTTGAAAACATCGATATATAAACCTCTCCAAAGTACAAAACAAGGTGTTTATCTTGAAACAGAAGGCCTAACGCAAAATATTAGCATTTCATAACACCTATTTAACAAATCCACGGCATTGTTCATGATCAGCTGACTTTATTTCTTGTGTAAAGTACATTAAGGAGTGTCAGAGATCACTATGAGAGATGTCCAAGACGTTATCAATCAATGTTGCATTTCTTTTACTTTTACAATTAAATCAAATTTGACGGGTCTCTGTGCGGATGTTGAATTTTGTCAAAAACGATATTGGGAGATATTTAGGATGATGTTGATGTGTGCCAGGAACAATACTGAAGATGTTAAGTACAATGTTGATGTGTGCCAGGAACAATACTGAAGATGTTAAGTACAATGTTGAAGGATGTTAAGAATGATATTGAGGTTGTTTGAGATTGGCAGGGCGATGTTACCGTATATCAAGGACGATATTGAAAAATGTCTGGAACTATGTTGAGGGTTGTCAAAGACGATATTGAGGGATGTTCGGGACTTAAGTCGATGGTGCAGAGAATGCAGGATGATAGAATACAAAAATTGGCACTGCAGTATAAACCAAGAGGAAGACGATCAGTGGCATGCCCAAAAATGAGGTGGTTTGAAGGATAGGTGCAGGTCAACAAGGTCTAAACTGTTAAGTAGACGACGACGACCTTCCGTTCTTTCTATTTTAAAACCTTTCTACGTTATTTTTTCCAACAAGAAAGTCATGGCTGAACTGGAAGATTACAACATTATTACACCTAAAAAATTAAATTATTTACTTTATTGCCATGTGATATACACAAAGAAGTTTAAAAAATCGTATCTCGTATCGATAGATGATAGAGCCCTATAAATAGTCAAGAAAATTGAGTTTATGCCCATTTATGCCACTAACATTAATTTCATTTGTATTGCTATTATTTTATCGATTGTTCATTTACCAACATTGGAATTCCTCTTTGATTTATGTTTAATCCTATAATGAGGATTGTTGCGCCCAAATTACGCTCAAAATAATGTAATGCAAATTAAATTTCAAAATTCAAATTGATTAATTTGTAAGGCGCCATCTCGTGCAAAATATACGAACTTTTCATTATAATCATTCATACTACATACTTTATTACACTTTATTTTATTTCCCAATACAATTATTATTAAATTAGTTTATTAGTTACCATATAAAGCATTTATTTAAAGTTATTTACTTTATTAGTTAAATAAATTTAAAATTTCAAATTTTTTATTTCTTACATTATTTTCTCTCTCGCTTTAATCATAGAGTCAATATATTTCGTTGATCCCTTGTAATGAAAATAAATGAGATCATTGGCAATGACAAGTTGAAAAAAAAAGAGGCGTGACTACATATGTCATTATTTTGAATTTGTAGATAGTTATGTTGGATTTTTTTTATAAAGAAACGATTTAAAAATATCGCGTAACGCTTTCATAATATAAGGGGACCGTTCGACAATGTCGAAGAAGCCAATATTCGTGGGTAAGTAAAAAGTTTCCACACAAGTTATCATCCGTCAAGTTTTCCAGTAAATTTGTCAATGAAATTGACCGTGAAAACTCGTTAACTTTGCCTTTTAAATATCCTCATTCGTTTTAATTATCGCTCAAAATTCATTGATGAAATCACTAATAAAACTTGAAGTATTCAAGGATTAATAAAACGTAAAAATTCTTTAGGAGATTTGGATATGTTACGTAGTAAATACGATTTTGACGCCTTATACCCGAAAACTCTTAGCTTCAAAGCGAACGATTATTTTATTTTAAATCAAACAAATACAAAACACAGAAATTGGTGGGAGGTTATGACCCAGAGGGGTGAAATCGGATTCATTCCTTCAAACTATATCGAAAGAGTCACCGTAAGCCCCGCTTTTTACCTTCAATATTTGGACCACGCCATCGATTACGTACAAAGACACGAAATTAAATCAGAATATTTAGTAAGTGAAAAAACCGATTTGATATTAAGATTAAAAGAAATGAGGCGACAAGTAGAACTAATGCCCGAAGTTGTTGAAAATTCTATTAGTGGAGAAGATGGACCACCATTACTTTTTAAAACTTCCAGTGGGGAAATTGAATGTATTAAATCAAAAAAGAGTTTTCCTTCAAATAACACAGTAAACATTCCTAAAAGTTACACAAGAAATTCTTCTATTACAGAAGAACCCATTAAACAAAAGTATTTAGAAAAAAAGGGGGCTTATTCCTTAAATTCGAGTAGAGAATGTTTGAGGAGATCATTAGAAGATGAACCTCAAGTACAAGAAATATATATTGCTCCAGATGCGGAACGACGTAAATCGGATACAACAACACGAAATTCCCAATCGATTGTAACAAATAGTTCGCATAAACCTTCTCCTGTTATCACACATCAAAACGTTTATGATTTAATTGAAAACGTTCGAATCAATACAGAACTTTCTCACGAAATGTCTAAAGTCGCTTTAGTTACTGTCATCCAAGGTCTTCACGATATCCTTCCTGCTTCCGCTTTTCCTTATCTTAGCACCATAGTTAGTTTAGCTGATGAATCTTTCAAAGCTGACAATGTTCAGATTGAACAAACCAGAGATGCAAGTCGTTTAAAGGTTATTTTTAATGAATTAACATCTTGTAAAGAAGATTCTCAACAGAGAAGTTGGATGTTACATGAAGATGAAATCGTTATTAAAGAATATATTAAGGAGTTGATTTCTATTTTGGTAAGATTATATTTAAGTTTAACTTTTTTTGTGGTTTGGATTAATTTGGGTTAACAAAATTAATATGATTCATGTTGATTGTGTAATCCATTTACCAGTATATTATAATCAATTTAGAAATGAAAATTATAATAATTGTAGTTTTTGTACTTTTTTACTGGTTTATTAAGTTTAAAACAATCTGCTTTACATGTTTTGACTTTGAGTTATCACCAGAAGCGTCGTCATGAAAAATTGGCGTTTAAACAAGATTGTAAATAAGATTTTTTGTTTTTATACAAAAAATTTTATTTTATACATTTTTACTTGTAACGTCTGTTAACGTAATTTTACATTTTAACTTGTTCATTTTTATTAAATTATTGTCTCAGCAAGACCGGTCATTAGACGTTTCTGGAGTTGTGGCCAAAATAAAAATATGAGAATTCCGACTTAAGTATTATCAATTGCGTTCTCTTCGACGAAAATATTTTCAGATTTCTAGCACTTCCAGTTATACCAGAAGTCACCACCTACTTCATTTTTTTAAATGGAACACCTGTATATTATTATATATTTGGATTTGTCTGTTTTCAAGGTTTATAAATAACTTTACTTTTTGCTAGAATTTCTAGAGAAATCTGCTCCAGCAGATATTTGTTCAAAAAATCAGAGAACACTCGATTTTTGAGATATCAATTTAGGATTCAGAACATGCTTAAGCACCACGATGGAGTATGTTTTGGTGCCAAGAACGGCTGTCTAGATCGTTTGGTCCCTTTACTATGGCACGTTAACTTTTTGAAATTTTGAAGTACCATAACATCATTTTTTTAAATGGCAACCCATATTTTATTACTTAGTCGTCTTCGGCATCTCATTTTACACCTTTTATACTCTTTTCTTTAATACATTCTAATATATATTATTAATATATTATTTTCACCCTCTACCCTCTTCCTCCATTTCCACACCCTCGGCCCAATCATCCCCTCATCCATCCCTTTGTCTCCTCACCCCCACAACCATTCTCGTCCATCGTTTCCCCTCTCCCCCCTCTCCTAAGATCTGCCCTCGGTCCATCTCCTCCTCCCTCAACTCACTGCACCCATCAACATATGTTCCAACGTTTCCCATTCCTCCCTGCATAGCCTACACCACCTCTCCTCATCGGCCATCCAGTATCTGTTAGCTCTCTCCTCGTTTCCACAACGGAACCTAGCCACCAACTTCTTCCCTTCCTCATCTCCTTCCAATAACAAGTATCTAGACAGCCCCTCCGTAATAATGTCCCTGTACCTTTCGTTATACCTTGCCTCTTTTATTTGTGCCTTCTTTCCTGTCTCTGCACATCTCGGTCCCTATCTCTCAACTCCCTCCACATCTCCCTACCCACCCTTCGTCTACTATTTATCTCAGTTACCGAGTAGCCCGCTCGTCTATAATAGTTGTCTCTGTCTCCTTTCCCATATCTGATCTTTCCCTCTCTAATTTCCCTCCAACACTCCCCCAAGATCCCGCAGTTTGGCCTCCCTTCTATTCTTTCTTCATATTTCACTGCTCTCCTGCCCCCCTCCACTCTGACTTTATCCACCTTTACCTCTTCCCTCACTATATACCCCGGTGTATCTCTCGCCACCCCAAGCACCCATCTCCAGTATCTAGCTTGCACGTCCTCCAGCATTGCCTGCTCTCTCCATCCCCATACATCATCACACTGCTAACCAGACCTTCAAACATAATCTTCCTCGCTGCCACATTCCTTCCAAAGACTCTCTTCCCCCAACCCATACTTGTCCCATCACCTTATTCGCCTTTTTTGCCATAGCTATCACATGCGACCCCTCCCTGTTGTCCTCCCTAAACACATACCCCAAGTAAGTATAGTCCCTAACCTCCTCGATCTCTTTTCCCTCCCATCTCCAGTTTTCTGTTCTTTTTCTCCCACCTTTACAGAACTTCGTCATCCTTGTCTTCCCCACATTCACTTCCAGCCTTCCCCTTAAAATATCTTTCCAATGTCTTTATCATATCCTTCATTTCCGCCGCTTCTCTCGCCATGACCACGATGTCATCCGCGTATGCTAACATATGCACCTTTCTACCTCCCTCCACCAACCCATTTGCCCCTTCCCCAATCTATCCTCCAGGTCCGCCGTATACAGTGCAACTACTACAGTGCCGTGCTCTATATGTCCTATACCTAACATTAATAGTTTGGGAAATAATAAGCGTTTTTTGAAAAATGCTCACATTTGAGAACGGATGGCGATATCGAGATGCGGTTTTCACTACTATTTAACAAATTTTAAGGGTCTGTCCATTAAATAGTCCCGTTCCATTTAACTTTTTTTTCAAAAATCACAAAAATATGTAATCGCTGCAGATAACGCCCTCTAGCTTATTTGTTTTAAACCAATCGGTCTTACTGAAAATATCTTTTAAAAGAGTATAAAATCAGTGCAGTAGCTGATCTTATAGTTAATAATTCTTCGCGCATTCTGTTCCATTCTGCTGTTCCGTTATTATGTTTATTGTTTCATTTTGTTTTTTTTTGCTTATTTGCTTTTTTATTGTTTGCTTACATATCGAGTACGGCTTAGTTTAGTTTAATATTTAATTCGATTTCATTTAATTATTATGTATTAATTAGGTAATTCCGAAATCTGTAATTAGGGGAAACCCTGCTTATTTTGGATGAATAAATAAATAAATAAAATCCATTTCTACATAACACCATCAATTTATTGTGATATAATTTTTAAGTATGTTAGAAGTGCAATCTTGTTTAAACACCTATTTTTCATGACAACGCTTCTGCTGATGACTGAAAGTCGAAACATGTAAAGCAGATTGTTTTAAAGTTAATAAACCAGTAAAAAAGTACAGAAACTATAATTATTATAATTTTCATTTCTAAATTGATAATAAAATTAAGGTAAATTATTTATTTTGTAGTCAAATGCTGATTTAAATATAACAAGACATGTTATTTCATCGAATTATCATGTTATTAATAATTTGATATTGTATTACCAAATGGAAACTCGATGGCCAATTCGTCAGTTATTATTACAATCATTTGGGATATTGTGTAATCTTGATAAAACGGTTGTGAATATTATGTTAAATTCGGTTCTTCCATGTGAAATTGCAAGGTATTTAACGAATTTAACCATTATGTGTGTTAAAATTAACAAATTATTTTAGAGACATTGAAGAAAACCCATCGAATATTTCAAAAATTAATTTCTCAACAACACTTTTAACAATGATTTTTTCAATGGGCGAAGGAATGCCTATAACACATTTCGGTAAAAAAAGTCTTTATTTTTCAATTCTTTTGTAAATCAAAAATTTCTTAGAATTCCTGGGAAATCGATTTATAAAATTTATTCTCAACTACATTGAATGTCCACCAGCGGAGGATATCGATGAAGAGATCCCAGATCTTTTCTTAAATTTTATTTTAGCGTATAATCTCCAATTTCACACGTTACACGAAAACGTGGTCGTGAACGTATTAAGTGAGAAATCGTTAGCGAAGACTTTTACTGAAAAATTATTGTTACTCATCAACAGGGAAGGTAAAATTAATTGGTTGTTTAGTGTTTATAATTTTTTTTTGGTGATCGATATGAAAGGAAACTTGAACGCATTAATAGATGTCGCGAAATGTTTTCTATTCGGTGCCAAAATTTAATAGCATCAAATCAATCTCGTTTCGTTTCTTTTTTAGAAGATCCTGTTAACATTTTCGATCACGAACCTCAACCGCCTCATTCCGTTTTAAAATTACTGATCGATTTATTTGATAGTAAGAGAACTGGAGGGTTATTTTATACAAATGATATTCGAGTACTTATTGATATTATTGTGAGAAATATTTTAGATTTGTCTCCAGGGGATAAGGTTGGTGTAAAATATTGTAATATACAGGGTGAAACAAAAAAATTAATTTCACTTTTTTTAAATCATATTTATTTCTAACTACTTAATATAATACAAACCACAACAAATAAACTCATACTAGGTAGTCAATATGTTCATTTTGAAACGTTCATTAGTTTCTTATTATTTGACATCATTAAGCTCATCAAATTACAGAGTGTACTAATGAAAAGGAGTTATATTAAACGTTAATTAATTGTTGTACATAGATTTTTATACTAATTTGCATTAATATGAATAATGTTTATTGTCAATACAAAAAAGACCTAACAGAAAACCTTCTTGTAAATACTGAAACACATTTTGCATGTAATACGAGTTTTTGGTATAAAGTTTTTCAGATATTTTCTTTGAGCAGATCATGCAACGCCAGCACAAAGCGTCAAATAAAGCAGTATCTCAAGATTTTTGGCTGAATTTTCAAATTAGTGGGTATTCTGGTTTAGACTTATTCTTTATGGTCTTTTAGATCGATACACCAAGGTTTTAATTTACAATCGTCAGCAGTGTTTCCACCAAGGTGCATTTTCTTTCAGAATGGCTCTGTCTCGTCCGCGTTAAATATCCTCTTTGCGCCAACTTTTTCAATTTATCAAGAAAAGCAGATGCAACGACTTTATCGGTACTGCATCTCCGATCTGTGCAATATTGTACCAGCTGTCTTTTACATCATCACAAGCCTTTAGTTTTTCAAAAATCTCTTTGGCATGATTGGATATGCTATTTTAATCAACTGGACAATTCTTGACCACTTCTTGGTTTTCATATTATACTAATACATATATTAATACAAAAAATTTTATTTCATCTTTTTCTTTGAATTACGAAGTAATTTTGATACACCCTGTATATTAACAATGTTAATATTAATGCTTAAAAAGAGTTTATTTTTTAGAGAAGACAACAATATTTAGAACTTTGCAAACGTGTAATGAGAAATACAAATTATGGTGAGCATCAACATCGTCGTGATGATATATTAAAATGTTTTACGCGGATTTTCTGTGAAGAAACCGAGCAAAGTAAAATCGACCAAAAATTGGTAAGGGAAATTATGAACGAGTTTCCGCACTATTTTAAATAAAAAGGAAATTTGGTAGGTGTTTTTTTAAATTCGAGTTGTGAATTTTTTAATAATTATATATTTTATACAATTTTTAATGAATAATACTCATTTTTTTTCGAGCTTGAAGTTTATTAGAAAGTATTAAGTATTTGTATTTTATGAGATTAATTATTTATGAAATGTTTTAATGATTGATACATTTATTAATGTATTTTTAAAGAGTAATAGTGTACTACGATAAATTTTATACAGAGTGGAACTTAAAGATCTCCCACATTTCGAATCGGTTTTAATAATTAATGATATGTTGTTTTAATCGACTCAAACGTAGAAGATTTTTATGTTCCATCCTTTAAAAAGGAGTGTTTATTAAGTACCCTGATATAGGTATATAAATATTTATCTTTTTTAACAATGAAAGTTTTTGATAAATCACCACCACACATTGCATGCAGAGAAGTCACCTATTTATTTTGTGATATATTTATCTATAATAATTACCAAAGAAATAATGCATAAGTAATTATTAAAAAAAGACGTCATACTTAAAACGTAAATTTTATTATTATCAATACATAATAGAAGTGTGCCAACATAATTATAATAATTCTATTTAAACGTTACACCGCGGTTTTTCCTTGTAAGTGTAATTTATTACAAAAAAATATGAATAAATTGTTATCAATGACGGTACAAATTTTCGAAGGAATCAATTTAATCAGAACTGTGTAGTAATAGGATGAGATGGAGATCTTGCGATCGATTTGAACTTTTGTGTTGTTTGAGCTAAAAAAATAAAATGCACGGATTGGAGGTTGATTGCGTTTTCATTCTCCTGTCATCATTTCCATGAATTCTATAACAGAAAAAAAAATGTAACCCAACAAAATTTTTGTCGTTAAAGAGGGACAAATAAAATTTTCTTTATTTTTTGGCTACCAATTAAGCGAGGAAATGTATAAAACAAAGCGCGGCCGTCGTCATCTGGCACGGCGCGAAAGCCGTACGATGTTTATGCATTAGAAATCGTAAATTTATAAATAGAGGAGCTGTATATTTCGAGAAAAAAAAACGCTATACACATTACCATCAAAGTCGACGGTCCCCGAACCGTCAGTATCAATTTCTTCAATCATCATATCCAATTCTTTGTCCGTCAGTTGATCATCTAACTCCCTTAGAATTTCTTTTAAACTCGACGTTTTGATGTAACCGTTGCCTAAAACAAAATTATTTTTGGTCGCACGATTAACAACACGCTGTGAATAAAGACCGTTTGTTTCTTTTGATAGAATCATATCATCGTATGAAACAACATTTGGTAAAGTTCCAAGAATAGTTTTAGTTAATATATCACTCCAGTATAATTTTTCTTATAAAATAATATCTAAAGTGTTTTAAAAGTAGGTGAATTATTTTTAAATTAGAAATTATCTTTTAATAATGTGAGAAAATTTTGAAATAAAGTGAGTAAATGTAATAATATTCATTACTTAGTGGTGGTCTTGGCACCACATCAACCAACATTAAAATCCGTATAAATAATTCGGGGAAATGAGGTAAATCCTTCACAAAAAAAAATCTCATATTTTCGCGAGTTGAGTGCATATAGAAATTTTCGCGTCTACATTTCCTTTGCGTTAATATTCGTTTTATTATTAGACGAAGCAATGTGATGGAGATATGTAAATTTACGTTCTGGCATGTCAACGAGTTCGTTATCTATCATTACGTACATAAACTTACTTGGAACATGACCAAAGATGTTGCTGATTGTATTAAATATTTCAAACCTACCTTCTTTGTCATAAAGACGGAACGCTTCTTTTAATTCTTTTTGCATGGCTTCATCATCTTCTTCTACTATGAATTTTGCGGCTAATGTTACGAATTCTTCAAATTCTAATCTTCCAGATTCTATTAAATGAGTTGAAATAGTTAATTATTCATCGATTTTTTTAGAGGTTAGGTTAATACTTGAAAGATTAAATGATTATGTGCATCTCTTTTATAACAAAGTTTTTCAGCTAGGTTGGGTTATAATTATTGTGCTTCATCGCAAGACCCTTGATCAGGGTTTCCCAAAATCAGGTCAATCTCGTAACGAGCACAATTCTGCGTTCAACCTTTCAGTTAGTGTTCTAAACATGATCTTGAAAACTTCCGGCTAACTTATTTGATTATGTCTCGCAAACTAATCAGCAACCCCCGTTTTTTTTAAATAGTTTGTAACAAAATTTAGAATCTTGTGATATAAAAACTTGAAGCTGCATTAGCTTCGATTATATTGAAAAAATATAGTATCATTTACTTACTATCTGCATCTACTTCATCGATGAGTTCCTCCAAGATTTTTTTATCGAATGGTTGACCCATAAGACGAAGAATATCTGACACCATATCACATGGTATGCTTCCTGATTTTTGACTGTCGAATGCTTCAAAAGCTTTCTTCAAGACTGTAACGTTAAATCAAATATTGAGTTAACTACTAAATGTGTCTTAACAGAAATTTCTAATCGAGTTGATTTGAGTGGATGTATATCATGTCATATTAAAACCAATAGAAGATTTTATGTATCCTCAAAATAGACTTCTTATAAACTAACAGATTTATGGATACTAAAACCGATATGATATTAACGGAATTGTATTAAAATTTAGCGGGCGTTTTTTGGAACTGATTCGATCGTAAATTTCGTTGAACTGCATGCGAAATAGTAATAAACACAAAACGAAAATTGAACTGTTTACAAACACAAAGAAATAAATAACTGACCAATTTTCGTTTCGAAAACTTGGCAAATCGGGTTACTACTAATTGGTTCGCGGTGTTTATTGGTCATTATGAACATTAACGCCTGAAATACGATTTTAAGAATTATTCCAATTTTATTATTAAATATAAACAGTTTATTTTCTCGTTTATTTTTTTGCACGGTAAAATATGGTGTAGGTGTATCTATTTCGGTTTTTTTTTTTGGGTGGTGCTGTCGGAAACGATAAAATCAGTTTGATGGCGGATGGGAAACCTATGCGGTTATATTTAGAGCCGTTTAATGGGTACCGATGGCTCGTCAAAGGCCTCAGGATCCGCAGGCACGATATCCGATTGCGGGACAAGAATAACTTGGACGCGTTTCTTGCTCTAATGGAACAGCTGCACGGGCGATCAAAACATTTCGGATACCACAAATCTACTCCCACCGAATGTTTACTTCACCGCCGTCGCTTGTGCCCCCAATTCTATATCTCGATGCCAACTGTGCCATGTGGATTGTTTCCATACAGATTATACTACTGGTTAAGTCTCCATGGAAAACAATAGTAAAGATTGTTACCAAAAATATATTGAAATCATTTTGGCCAATATGTAACAATATACTTAGTTTATAGTTTCCATAAAAGATGACATTTAAGTTTAAACAATTTTCTAATTTTGTAGCTAAATCTTTTTTTTGAAATTTTTTTGTGTAAAGAAAGTCCACTCGATAAATAAACAAGTCTCTTTCGCATAATTGAATGTTTATTTGATTTTTTCCTACTCAAATGAATTATTTATAGACTGTTTGTTTTGGTACGGATTTGGACCGTATCGGAACTCCACCTCCATCTCGATCTCGTTTTTTTTTCGTTTTATTACTCACCTGCGAGTTGTTCTGGCGGCAACTCATCCTACAAACAAAAAGAAAATCCTACAATGTCATCATGTTTCGTTCATTCGAACATTATGACCTACTGTACTATTAAGCCAAGCGCCGTACTAGTGTTATTTCGTAGCTTGTGCCAAGCGAGGGAGTTTTCAACCGAACAGGTGTCGGACGTTTATCATGGTAACACTCAAAGCGAAAATGAGGACGTGGTTTTTGATAAATGCCCAATAAATCTGTCGTTGTTTTAAAACGCCAACGGCCTCTTTCAGAATATACTAAATGAGTAAACATTCGTTAGTACCTTTTAACTTTTAAATTTTACCTCGTTTTTCTCGGCTGAAATATTTTTAACTAAACTGATGTGTTTCTAGAAACTGACGTAAATTATCTCATTGGAACACGATTTATTGGAAAGGTTCATCTGATTTTAGAATGTTTACTTTTAATTAATGATCTTAGATGTAAATGGAAAATTTATGAATGCACTTGAACTTTGAGATGAAATAGAATATTTAGGGTTTTGGACGAGTGATTTTAATTTCTTTTTATTTTTGATTTCTAATTAATATAGTGTATTAGTTTGGGTTCCCATTAATTTTTCCATAATTAAAAATTAACTTACCAACACCAAACTTTATAATATTAATTAATCAAAAATAAAATGCCACTGATGTTAAAAGCACAAAGCACATTTAAATAACCAACTATAAAAAGTTGGTTTGTGTTAGTTTATTTTTTTGATCCAAAACTAAATCCTACCATTTTGGTTGTGGAGGGTGGTGAATGGACAATACAATAACGGGGTCAACAATAACAGGAAGGAGTTCTTCGATGGAGTCTGGGCGTAAGACTGGCGTTGGATCGCGCGGGAGAGAAACGTTATTATTTCTGGGTTATAGTGGATTTCTAGAAGCGCGCCAGCTTCGGCCCCCGATATACAATAGAATCGTGAAATTTATATATCTGGCTTTGCAATTGGTTAACCAGTAGTATCTAAACCAATGGCCTGAAAGCGGTAGTATTCGAGCTTACTCTCGCTTATTTTTAGGCGAAATGGTTTTCACATCGAGTTGGGCGGAATAAACTTGAGGAAAGTGCGATTCATAAAACATACAATTTCACATTTAACCCTTGTGCCACAAAAACTCTCTGACATGTATCACATTTCATTACTCTTAATAACTATTTTATTTCAGTTTTTTTCTTGTATTGTCCTTATTTATTCCTTATTTTAATAATTTTTGTGATTATTTTTTTAGTTATTTCGAATACCACTAAAATAAAATGATGTAATGTATAAAAATATTCTATTAATAATGATATGATGGAATCGGATCCTTCCGAGGACATTCACGGACGTCACTGTAGTTACGTCTTTCACGAATCGGTTAAACTGGTGCAGTTAAGTTCAGGATAATTTATAAACGCACTCTCGTTGCCAAAAAGCGTTGATAAAATTAATTCACGCCAACTACACCCATGCATTCTATTCATTTTATTGCCCTTATTCAGTGAGATACTCAATGTTTCGATTTCTCTCCTTTTTGATTTAATTTAAATTTTCATCCACAGATTTTACGATTTTGTTTTTGTTAATAATTGTTTTGCTTTACTTATTTCAGCTGCATTGCGAAACATATAAACATGTGAATAAATTACTCAAACGTCGAGTGTTTATTTGGGTAAACGTATATTTAAAATTTGGTTACTCGAGCTTACCGGTTATGTACCGAAGCATTCGGTTTGTTTGGATTGGATGTATTTACGCGTACCGTGTACGGTTCATATAAGAATTTATGTCAGGTGTACGAGAAAAGAATGTCTTAATAAATCAACGATGTTAGTGAACATCCCACGATTTAACATTACAATTACCAACAAATCGTGGATATCATCCAACAAATGTTACTTCACGAGATTGCCAACGAATACAATATTACAGAAAGTCAAATAAGTGATACGAGTTTTGGACCTACAAAAAAATTAAAACGAATGTTGATGTGTTAAGTGAATCATGATGCAACAGAGCTTGTTTATAAATGTCGCAATGTGTTCGTTAATTTATGAAACAATACGGATAGTGTATGTGGACCGATTCCAAGAAAGCGAGGAAACAATCGTTCAAAACTTAATACCGCTGGCACCGAAACCCGAAAGAACGAGAACTGTAGACAAATAACACTTGTTTTCTATTAAACAGCTTTAAGAATGCGTATCAGTTGAACTTGCGACAATATTTCTGCTAATAATTGTGTCAAGGATAGGTTTTGAAATTTGATATATAGTTGCTAATATCAACATTTTTCTTAAAATTATTTGAACCAATCTACAAAATCCTTTCGTACCATAATGAATAATCGTAGGATTTGCTATGAGAAAACTAGATACATTCGATTTATGCCATGTTTCAACCTTTTCAGAAACAAATTTAAAAATGACTCTCTTTTCAAACAGTCATTAGCGGTTTTTTCAACATTTATGTTTGGCACGAGTGAAGACACAGAGAAATACTGAGAATGGATTGGAAACATGTAGACAAATTGATGGAACGAGTAATACAGGACGTAGGATTGACTGTGCAGTGCTATAAATCTCTATTATCAAACGGCAAGAAGTGGTGTCTGTATTATTGACATCATTTGAGATATCAATTCCAAAATCGATTAACAAGGTCGCGTGTCGCCAATAAATCTCGATTGGACGTGTGTCATTTCGCATTACAAATGGTCTCCAATCGGCAAATAGTGGTCTTTATTATCGAAATCTTATAAGGAAAAACTAGAGAGTTTGAAAGACTTCTAGAGAAATGTAGGATGGGAAGAAATAAATAATGGTATAATAGCATCGCATGGAAGGGTGCAGGAGGTGAAGGAAAGCCAGGAAACCGAAATCGGGGTGATATAGCAAGAAAGGGATGGAAGGAAATATATAAATAAAATATAAAGAACAGGATAATAACATAACTAAAATACCGATAACATACTGAACGAAATATTTTATATAGCTGTTGTATCAGGACGGTGATAAGGGATGTAAAATTAAAAAGGGGTGGGTTTAAAGGGGTGGATATGAAGAGAAATGATATAACTGGTGTAGAAAGGCTACCGAATAAAGGTACCAGGAAAAGAAAGAGTTTAGATAACTACTCAACCCAATCGGAAATCAAGCCAACCTGAAAGCAATTCAACTCAACCAAAAGCAACCCAATCTGAAAACAAGCCTACATGAAAGCAACCCAACTCAACCCAAAAACAAGCCCACCTGAAAGCAACCCAAAAACAAGTTAACCCAAAAGCAATCCAACCCGAAAGCAACACGGTTCAACTTAACTCGAAAGCCACTCAGCCCAAAAGTGTAAAATGAAGTACTTCTGAAATTGGTACATGTTTCTACAAATTGTTTGAAGGAACGACGAAATCTGAAATAAAATACATGATGGTTCTTTGATACATGTTAATTGAAGCGTTTTGGACAACGAAGCAATTGATGCAGGATTACACAATAAGTCTCAGCCTATTTACCGTATACACAGCATAGTGCTTTGTAAAAATGTTTAACGTTTCAGAAACAAGTTCGAAGTCATTTTGCAATCAGTTTGAGCTTGATTCTGATTATAGCATGTTATCCGAAACACTAACCACGTTTTCAAAAGACGCACGGCTTAACCCGAAAGATTTTAGTTCTAGGTCTACTTATAATATTAGTTCTAGTTTTAGTTTAATTAACACCAACCTTAAAAGCTTCGTACTTATGGTATGATAAAATGTTTGAATAGTATCTCAAGGAGCAAGAGTTGGATGTCAATATGGAATAATCGAAAGGGAGAAGGAGGAACGAGAAGAAACAATTTAACTTTGAAGTTTCAAATTTATATTTATAAATGTTTACAGCGTTGTTGAGTACTTAACGCGAGTTCATTTTAGATATCAGAGTTAAAAACTCAGTAATTGTAGATTTTCTGTACACTAGGCATATTGCAGTGACTGTAAGGTTTCAAATTTACAAATATTTTTCTTAGAAGAAACGCATTGAACATCATTATAAAAGAAGCAATATTCAAAATCATCGGATACTAGCAATACGCTGATGTAATTCCAGGATGTAATTTAACCCATATCCGGGAAGAGACAAGTCAAGGGCTATTTACATATCACAAAATAAAGCCGACAATAAGATATGTATCACTGTTGTTATAATCTATTGGACTACCAACACAATGCATTTCAACATGGGTTATTGAAAAAGGGCATTAAACATAATAAAGTTGAATTCACTTAGACTAAAAACCTGGAGACAGGTAGATTAATGGTATAAAGGAAAACTGGTAGGTAGTTTCTGTGGATCGACGTCCCGATTTAAAGATGTGATTTCCAAATCGACGAACTCCAATCCTAAGAACAGAAGTGAAGGTTAAATTTATGAGCGAGGTCCCTGGCAAGCTTTAATAGCACACAATCATCTCAATCGTCACACAATTTTGAATAAAGGACGCCGCCAAGTTCTCAATTTGGGAAGCTATACGAAAGATATTTTTTGAACAATATTGAAAATGTTCCAGACAGTTGTGAATAATTAAATAGCCAGACATTAATCCTCTTGGATAAATGGAAAGTAACGAAAATGGTCGATAATTATTAAGAAAATTTATTAGACTGGTTATAAACCGTCGAGAAAACGTAATAGATATTTAAGGCTGTTTAATTAAGGAAACATCACTTTTAATGTTGATTTCAATGTTTAGCCGACAATATCGTGACCTTGAGGTCGAAATGAATCTATATTTTATTATATTTTTGTAGGCGCACACGAACATTGACTTTTAGTTATTTAAAACATTAGAAGTATGTTGTTTATTAAAAGAATCACTAATGTTTTGCAAACTTATGTTTCTAATTATTTATTCCGTGGTGAACGATCAAACTTGATCATTTTCGGCTTATCATGGAACGAAAAATAAGATCTAGTCAGAGAAAGCAATGACTAGATCTTTAGTAAAGTTGGAAATAGCGATGTTATCATTGTTGAAGCAGCTTTAGAAGAACCCAATAATATAACAAGTGTTGTAATCATCGCAAATTGAATCTTGCTTTCACCGGGTTCAAACATACTTTATATATCTTTATATTTTCCCTAGCATTCATGTAATTGTTTGTTTGTTATCAATAAGTCTAGAAATAACCTTTTTCTGAATCAGAATCTCAATAGTAAAAATTAATACGCAATAATTAGGAACATATAAGCTTGTGAGAATTTTGACGAAATTTTTCCTTTATTATAACTAAACTAATTTAACTCGACATTTGGCAGTGATAAATACCGTAAACCAATGTATTAAACTAATAAATATATCGTTCCTATTCCTGTAACACCAAATGTTCAAAAACATCATCATTATAACATATTTCGTGTTTCCATTGGCATAATAATGTAATAGAAAGAGGGCAAAAATAAGAGAAAAAGTTTTATATGTTTTGGCATTTACTCGAGAAAAGATATTTGTCTTCTCAACCAACTTTGTTCCAATTTTTGAGATAAACTAAAAACCTTAATGTTTATTATTTGATTCTAAGATAAGTTATCAGCTTATTATGATACGTATCAGCATGTTATAAAAAATACTTTTCAAAGTTATTTTTTATTCCCCTCTATGAACATTAATCACAAATGAATTTATTTAGTTAGTTACAGATTCCTATGTAGTGTTAAAAATTACAGAAAACTATGTCAACCTAATGCGCGTGCCTGTAATTTTGACAGATTCCACATGATATTAATCGATCCTGTGTTGACATGTGTTTATTTAATTTAACATATTACACGACGAGGAACGATTAAAAATGAACGACTTTGAGAAAGAAGAAGCTTTAAATTTGGTATGTCCAAAACATTAACTAATTGTACCTTAAAACATCTTTGTAATTTTAGCAAAAAGAATTTGAGTGGGTTCTCCACAAGGAAGTACACGCAGCTTTACAACAAATTCATCAAGTCTTAGTGGTAAGTCAATTAATTATTTTTATTACTTTAATTTTATCTTTACAACCATTTTTTAGGAATGTGCGCAACGATTTCCCGTTCAACTTTATGGAAAAGATAATTCTAATAAACAGGATCGATTTACATTTAATGTTGCACCAGATCTACTTAAATGTTCAGCAGTTTTAACTGGTGATAGTATTACACATGCTGTAAGAGAATTTTAGAGTAAATTTTATAATAATTGTTTTGGAATATTTAATATTTATAGGAGATTCATATAAAAGCTTTAAGATTGGGCCAAGTTGTTAAAGCATCTATACAAGGAGAACATCCTTGGAAGTTGCAACAAGTTCAAGATGCTGCAAACCATCTTCAACAAGCGATTTATCATATTGATGATGTTGGTAAAAATTATAAATTTAAGCAAGTTCATCAACACAAATTAAAAAATTCTTTTGATAAATAAATTAAATTTTAGATCATCTGATGAGGTTTTACACATCTTGGGGAACATTTTGGGTAGCTTACAAAGGGGGAGAACAAGTCTTATTGTCCCAAGGAAGAAAACTATTGATGATTTAATAAAAAGCAGAAATATGGTAATATTAATAAGTACTTAAAAAACATTAATATAGAGTTTTATTTTAGAAATCATTAGCTCCAAATTTACCGGAAGATTTGGCTATAAGCTTTTATATTCAAAGTCACAAATTAATTTTGGCATCTTACCAGATTTATTCAGTACAAGGAGTTATGAAATACGATTGCAGCCATGCTGAATGTACTGTATCTTGGTTAAATGAAGTTTTAGTTCTTTTTACTGTAGGGTTGCAGCTTTGTCAGCAACTAAAAGATAAAGTGGGTATGAGGAAGATGTGGAATCATTTTTTTTAAATGTTTTTTGATTTTCAGATTTGTGTATTTTCTCAGTATAAAGATTTCACAGTTGGGTCTAGACCCAATTCTCCTATTCCAGCATAATCTCGTTGTTAAAGCTTTATCTCTATGGATGCGTTTGTGTTGATGTTTTTAAATTTATTTAAATAAGGTGTTTATGTGCTAACCACTAGCAGATTCTATGAATTTGTTATAGATGTATTAGATGCAAGTATTGATAATGTATGACATAAAATAAATAGTTTAAGTTTGATTGGCAGTTTTACTGTATCTGTCCCAGGTGGATTTATATTGCATTCTGATAAAACTAATAATTATCTTGACACTATCTCGATTTTGTAATTATTGATCTATATTTTGGTTGTTATTTTGATGAACTTGAATTGTAAAAACTGAATGGAAATTTTTTAGGGATTAAAAGTTAGTCATGGAATTGTAATAAAGATTTAGCAATAATTTCAAAGTCCATGTGATAATTTATTTGATAACATATTTTGGTAGTTATTAATAAAAACATATTACATATAGATGATTATTGTTTTAGCAGATGAGATTATAAAAAAATTACAAGAATAAGCGGAGTCATTTCTAAATGAATCACCACTTTCAAAGATCCAATTTGTTTTAAAAATATTTATGTAATCTGGGAACCCCAGTCAAGATTAACAAATTAATACAAAAAAATCTTATTAAATTCCATCATAATATTTCAAATATTAATCAGGAATTAATCACGTTAGATTGTGTTATTGTTAATAACTAAACTTAATTGAAATATGTGAATAATTTCGAGTAGATATTCGAATCACGAGCTTTGACCGGTGAGATTTGGTGTGCAATGCAGTTTGCAGGGAACGACGTGGTGTAGAGTCTCACCGGATCGCAGAAAATCAATATAAATTTTCGGTCGCGGCGCTGAAATCAATGTAGGCATCGCCACATAATAAATTATTTTGTCAATTTAAATTCCGAACACGAATTAGCACTTAAAAAGTTTAGCGGCGCAACAGAGCTTTTGTTAACAATTAAATCGAACGACCATAGATGGCGACACTCGTGCCGTACCGGAATCGAAAACCCATAGTCGGACTTCCCCCAACCCGGATCCGACAGCTGCGGCGATCGCGATTGAATAATACCGGCCGTATAATGCGATTGAAATTCGATTGGATTAAAACGGCGCATTTTTTAAAAACAGCTTTTAATTGAAAACTGAAGCGGATTAGTGTCGAATAAACGCGCGCCCGCGCCCCCAAAAAGGATTCCACCGCTACCGTTACGGAATCCAAATTGTGTCGACGTTTTTGTACGCATCCTCTTTTAAAAAGGTATACACTCGTTTGTATAAAACGAATTGTTTAACCACATTCTCCATTTTTTTTTGTTACAAACTTTTTTGTTTAAAAAAGTTTTTTGGTTATTATCGAAACTGTTTCAAAATTCAAAAGCTTCATCACATTTATCAGAATCACATTGATTTGAAAATTTACATATCGATTTAGATAGAGGTAGATTTCGAACACATCATTCCGCATCCGACCATCATCTATTGCAAGTGCCATCAGATGAAAGAGTGGAAGATGAATCGATCAGCTTCGATTCAATTGAAACCAGGGGACCGGACCCTATTTGACTCCGTCAGCAGAAACGACTACCCGTAGACCACAAATCTCGCTCTCTCTCATTCCGTACCCTCTCGCATTCGATCTTCTTCTTGTCCAATGCGAATTAATCGTACACGACGGAAAAGAGGGGAAAAAGAAATCGTTGCTCGTTTGTACGAAATTAATTAAGCGCCTACAGAGGGCAATTGATACCCGAGGCCATCGCATACGGGACCATTGACATCGCGAAGTCGGTTGTTGTTGTAGTACAAGTACAAACATAATACATCTTGGGCATAATGTGCCGTGAGACTGACGTACTCAAATAACCCTATTTGTGTTTTAGAAAACGCGGACGGAGCGCGAGATAATGGGGTATTGGGGACGGGGTAAAGAGCTTATCAAACACGAAATTCGACCCTATATCAACATACCCTATAGAATAGAACGTTATTACTCTCTAAAATTCAAAGTCCAAGAGAAATGTGTATAACTAACAATGTACAATCAATGCAAATTTTCCCTAAATATGTTTATTGTGGACTAGAAGAATATGTAAATCGCTAATACTTATGAGCATCAATTTTGTACAAAATTTAAATGTCTGTTATAAACGTCGTTTTGGTATATATTGATAGTAACCAGTTAGAACAAGCGTTAAAGGAACTTGAAAAAGTAGGAAATCACTTAGATTTAAAAGGATAGTGAAATTCGAACATATGCAGTAAAGGTAGTATTATTGATCATGATTATGATCGAAGCAAAGATGAATCCGTAATAACAATATAAAGTTTGACTCCAAAAATATAGCCGAATGAAGCACAGAAATATTGTCTGTATGTTTGGAGATATCAGGAATGAAGCTTAGGAAGCTTATACAAGCATGATGTTGACTAGTGATGGAACGGATACTGATTTTGCGAAAAGCCGGATATTCGGCATCCCCTTCGGTCGGATATCCGGCACATCTATCCGACCATTGTAATTATAACTTCTGGTGCATTTCTGAAGTGATACCCTACATTGCCACATTATTACGATATTTGAATAAAAATGAAATTAATAAGAAAGCTGATAAGATATGTCAACTTATTTGGATCCAAGATACAAAATGAACTTTTTTGATGCTGATTTAACTCACGAAGCAACTCTAAAAGGAGGATACTTTTATTAATAATTGGCGATATTTCCACAAGGATCCTTCAAGAAATGAATTTTATAACGAATTTTGAAAATTATCGATGCAAAGTGCAACATTGAAAATTTTATCAAAACTTCAAATATTGTTCTCTCAAAAACTAAAATTTATTTTTCAAAACGTGTTGGTTCATTGGAAAGAGGACACTATTATTAACACTCTAGGAAATTTTCATACTCATACCCCAAGAAATGGATTTTATACGAATTTTTAAAACTTAATCGGCGAAAATTGCAAAATTCGAAAAAATTGTCGATTATTTCAAAAATTTATTTCTCAAAAACTAAAAGCGATTTTTCAAAACGGCTTGTTGCATCAAAAAGAGGATACTTTAATTAATGATTGGTGATATTTCCACAAGGATCCTTCAAGAAATTAATTTTATAGCGAATTTTGAAAGTTATCGATGAAAATTGCAACATCGAAAATTATCAAAACTTCAAATATTGTTTTCTCAGAAACTAAAAGTTATTTTTCAAAACGTGTTGGTTCATTGGAAAGAGGCCACTTTTATTAACACTTTGGGAAATTTTCATACTCATATTCCAAGAAATAGATTTTATAATAATTTTTAAAACATAATCGGCGGAAATTGCAAAATTCGTAAAAATTGTCGATTACTTCAAAAATTTATTTCTCAAGAACTAAAAGTAATTTTTCAAAACGGTTTTTTGCATTAAAAAGAGGATACTTTAATTAATAATCGAAAGTGATAACAGCGACAGTTTTGTTAGTAATGAATGTGATGATGAATTATAAGCGAAGAGAAGAAAACTAGACGAAACTGCAATAAGAGATTTTATATATCGTATTGGGGTTGTTACAATGAGGTTGCTAAATGACAAACCTGAAATAAATAAAGTTGTAATCAATGAAAAAAGTTATTATCTACAGTGTCCAACACCTAAAACAGATACTAATTCGGCCGGATTTAAAAAATGGCCGTATAGGCCGGATACCGGATAGTTGCCGGTATCCTAATGTTGACATATGTTGAAAGAGAGTATGACAGAATTGCCAGGGACGATTCTGATGCCATAGTTGATATTAGGGAAGTCCAGAAACGATATTGGAGAGAATTAAGCGATATATTAACATCACGGAATATGTTCAGAGAAATGCGGTAGGCGATGTTGAGAAAAGTTAAAGACGATGTTTGAAGATATCAGAAATAATGTTGATAAGAAGTATCAGAGATGATGTCCAATATCCTTGTGGATATTGGAGACAATATTCAAGTTGATGTTTAGTATGTTTAGTTTGTTATGATGGTTAAGATATTGAAGAATTCAAGGAGAGTGTTGAGAGACACCGTTATAAACACAGACATAATACGTCAGAGACATATTATGGCTACTAAGATATTAAAAGATTCTAAGATAGTGTTGATAGGGATTATGTTAAAATATGTCCGGAACGATTTTGTTGTTTTGTTGATTAGGGACGACGATGAGATATATTAGGAACGACGATGAGATATATTAGGAACGACGTTTAAAGATATTAAAGCTGATAATGATAGATACTGGCGAAATCTAGATAACGGTAGTCCAGGACAACGTTAAGAAATAAAGGTACAAATCCAAAAGGAACTATTTCCTTTAATTCTTCGAAACGGTTGTGTAAAAAGGAAGTGACGATATATGTTTTACTTTTACTACAACTTCTTGAATCATAAAAGAACCAACGAAGGAAGAACCAATTCTGTAATACTTAATTTCCTTTCTATTCCCTAACGTACCCTGTAATTCTTGTGGAGCCCAGCATAAAAACTTTACAATGCTCTGCTCTGCTCCACATAGTTCATAGTAAACACTGATTTGATTATGTTAAGGTTGATAAGTGGAAAAATAAGAGTGGAGGTTTTATCAGATTAGATAGAGATTAACATTACCATCGCACGAGATACAATGGGTTTTGATGGTCAGGTGTATTAGAAGATAATAAAGGTTTGAAATATTGGGAAAAATATATTTTCGCAAGTTTTTTCAGGTTTTGCCTATAGGATGAAAGCCAAAAACGATAGCTGTTTGGACTTTTTTTCTATCTCTTTTAGTTTCGGAGATAGCCTATGCGGACAACGAATTTGGGACACCTGTACACAGGTAATCTTTTTCTGTACATCAAAACACAACGCTTCAACTATTTTTCAAGATGCCGTTTTAATATCGTCCAAAAAAGTCGGTATCTGCATTATTTAAATCCGTTATGCAGACAAGAGACTGCAACATTCCCATATGCTCGAAGAGTTGTGTACAACGGAAGGACCAATCAGTTACTTGCTAACGTACACTTCCAAGTTTGATGTAAAGTAGCACTTAAAATCTTCTGAAACTATAATTGGGTGCCATGCTTAATTGGTGTACTTGGTATGTATTGTTTAAAAGTACAAGGTCCTCGAAAACCTGCCAATATTTGTAAGCATTTTTGCAATTTGTAACAAATTTATTA